AAGAAAAATTACGAGGGGGTTGATACCAACTACCACACGGCGGAGGTAGGGGCGAAACGATCTATAATAGTCGCGCGCGAGTGTCGCAGGAAAGAAGATCGGCTGACAAAGAACGATCGGAGATAATCTCCTTTTGTGACCGCGGGTTCAATCGCGAGACACCTTTGTGCTCGCTGGGACACGAACGCGCCGTGAAGAAAGAAACGAGATTCCAACATTTGTCTCCTCTTTCCGCGCGGATGAACGAGTGGACACGGAGAGGCGGGGGTGGGACGATATTTTACATACATACGAACACGCACGGATACACGTTCCAACCATTCATCGAGGTGTGCGTGTACGTTACACGAATAGGACGGAGAGACGTACGCACGAATGTAAACCGTGAATGAATACGAACGACGCTCACTCGCACCCACATGATTCATTGAAATTCAAATGATATCTCTGACGGCTCTCTCTTTTTCTCTCTCACCTCCTGGACCAGTCTGCGTCCAAGGAACGCGACTCTTCGGTTGTGTGAGCGTCTGCGTGTCGGATAGGACGCGACGCGTCTCGTTGTCTGAGACCGGCTGACACCCCATGGAAACTCGCGTGCTTTACATATATGCTTATAGGCCGGTGAAGATATTCATTATAATAGCGAGCACACGGCCCGTGTAATATAATGCTGCTTTGGTATGCTAACCGGGGTCAAAATACATCTCTTCCGACGCCGTCGAGATTCGTGTCGGCCGTTTGTCCTCCGCGCGATGGAGACATCCCCGAATCACAACGCGGACACCCTCAATCGCCTCGTCGAGAAACGGCTACCAGAGCATTGTCCCACGAAGGCGAAGAGCAATCGAAGTCGGTTTCGAAAGTACAATCGAGAAGTGCTGCTCCACGGTAAAGGCCAGCCCCTTCGGTAATTTCGATAACGACCACGAAAGGGATGCGAACGAGGGAGAATGCGAACGAACTAAGGAGGGAATGCTCCTTTCAATTGGTTGCTTCTAACGAGCATACGCGTGAGCGCGCGGAAAACGTAGGTAGCTTAATAGCCATATTTACTACAGCCTCATCCAATTATTGGGTAAACACAAACAATCTGCGGATCGATATAGTAGTTCTTCTCTTCTTCTTAGCGAGGAAATACTGGCGCTGGCAGACCGTTTACGGATAAGCGATGCAGGTGTTGTGCGCAAAGTAAGTAGATTAGTCCGACACGTTTCTCAAGCGCGCCATGGCAACTCGCGATCCTGCTTATTCTACTGAATCGTACTCTATCTAAATACGTTGTTTGTTGATCAAAATTTTATCTAGGTAAGAGTTTCGTCCATTTCTCTTATTCCGCAACGTGACCAGGATTGTCGTCGTCGTCGCTCGGGGATGAGATCTCCTTTTACATCCTTTTGAAGAAACGCACTCTCGAATGCAAGAGAAGGAATTAACAAACCGTTGCACCGATGCGCGAGAAACGAAGGGTGCTACAATGGAACGACACACGCTCGGGCAAATCCACGCTCTGCGAATCCCTCTTTCGTTCAATGATCGTCCCGTTGCACCGTGCTGTAATTGCGCTTCTGCATGCGAGGGCGTGCTAATTGATCGATAAGCGGAAATACGGAGATAACGACCAACGGAAATCCCGGTGACCGAACAAAAATGGAGAATTCACGGGAAGGGTTATTAATCGATACATCGTGACTCCAGCGGAACCTTTTTGAAGACTTGGTCTTCATTCGGTTCGACAAGTATTCGGTTGGTGCATAACTATCCGTTGTTTTTGTTTTATTTTTCTTTTTTTTTAAATTTTATTATGAGAAAAGAAACATAAAACATATTGTCTTTCACGACGAAAATTCTGTGGAATTTGTACGTTTCTTTATTCATAATAAAATTAAAAAAAAAAAAAAAAACGGCGGATAATTATGTACCAATATAACTACATTCTCGAGAATGAAACGAATAATTTTCCTTACTTTCAGTTATCAATCTGCATCCAACCGTTTATCGGTTTCGTTTTGCAAAAACTGGCCTATCCGTTACCGATAGTAATTCCACGTAATTTTGATTATTGCGCTCCGATGCACGTGTTCTACCCACCAATTATAAAATATTCGATAGGTGAGCGTATATCGTGCAACGTACATTTATATGCCACTTTTGCGCGCAGGCGCTTCTCGTATCGCAAAGACATCGAAACACGAACGGCTTTGTTTTGCGATCGAGCAGAGAAACACAATTCCTAATATTATCGTTATTCCACATTTGCGTGCAACGATTTCATGGAACCAATAATTATACGAATAATTGTTTGAAGTTAACTACACCGAAACGTTTTTCAAAACCAAGGCAATCTTTGTTCGTTCAATCAACGAATGAGGAGCTCCGGAGGCTCGAAGCTGAAGCTTGGTTAGCTCGACGGTGCATCCACCCCTGAACCCAAGCCGACTTAACGATAATGCATTTGCATAATCACGGTGATAACACGCGGTGGACCCACAGCGCGCATCCTACGGTACACAGAGGCTACGTCGCAAGAACGCGAGCAGTCCGAACGTATCGTGACGCGTAACGAGACCGTACGCGAGGAAGGAAGACTGCGCTCGTGGGTGTGCACTTTACTCGGTAGAAGTGCGCACCAACACAGGCGCGAAACGGTGCAAAGAATCGGGCGTACACGCGTGTATGGAAACGAAATACCCCGCAATTTGCAGGTTTACGAGTTATTTCGCAATGGCTGCAAAGTATAGTGCTACAGTATTATACTGGCCCTGGTAGCCCGAGTGCACGGTCAGTGAACGGTGTTGCAAGGAGGGATGATGCGCGTAAGGATACGTGTAGGTGTGTACTTAGAATGGCTCGTAGCTTCAACGAGGAGACGAGCCAAGCAGCGTCTTGCCGTACACTGGTAGCAACTTTGTGTACGATAGACGCACCACCGCTATTTTATCGAAACGCGGACTTTCGTCTTCGTTGCCAACGCGAGAGAGCCACAAGACATACCCCGGCCCGGTACCCTATTTCGAGAAAACAACCGTCGGGCCGTAAACTCCGCGAAGGCAGAGTAGTTTCATCACGGCGCGTTAGCGTCTAGTTCACGACGAAAAGAAACTAGAAATCGGTGGCCCGTAAAGTCGTCGTTGATCCCCGATAGGAGAAATCGCATAATGTGTGACGCAAATTTTAATATCCGGCATTAGTGTTCGCGACAAATGCAACGGTGCACTCGTGCGAGGCGATTACGCGGCGAAATCGAAATAAAATATTCGTATAGACGGGAATCGCGATAAACGCGGTGGCAAGAACGTTGCCCGCTTTTATCGTCGCGAAATAATTTGCATCGTTCCATATTCCTATCGTCGACCGATAAAGGCGGTTGCGGTGTCGGCCATAGGTTCGCACGGCCGAGAACCTTTCGAATCGATCTAGAAAGGAGGGACACGGAGGTTTGCGCGCGATGTTATATTCGTTGCACGAGAGATCCGTGAACGTCGAGCCGCATCAGCTCGAAAAACGGCCAAAGATTCCGAGGGAGAGGGGCAAGGAACCACCATCTCCGCGAAGAGGAAAGATTAAAGACCCAGCAAGTACGCCCCCACCGGAATGATGGATGCGATCCGTGAGACGCGGGCGCCGCTCTTCGAGTAGGTGGAGACTTCCATTTTCATTCCTACGCTTGTTCCTTCCTCTCCCTACCGTCGCTGCTTCGCGTTCTCTCGCGTCTCTACGCTTTAATCAGCGATGCGCCTCGCGCAGACTCGACTCGTCTCTGACATCGAACTGCCAGACTTGGCTTGTCTCGCGACACTCCGGGTTGGTACCTTCATGTCGTCTAAAGCTTTATCGTCTGCAGCTTCACCGGTAAAAAAAAGAATCCAAGAATAAACATCCTTGCAACGTATAAGATTGGAATTGAACGGGGACTCCTGGACAATCCATAGCTGTGTCCGATCTAGACGTCCTCGAAGGACCTGTGTTGTTATTCTTCCTCGCGATCGAAAGATAAACGGTTAGAAAGATAGAAAGAGCCTTCGCCCAGGCATCATTCAGCGAAGGTTTGTCGCGAGTGGTGGAGGAGTATCGGCGGACCGTGCGCGCGCGAATAACAATCTAAATGGTAATCCAATACCACACCCTCTTTGCAAAAACTGAAAACCACCGGCTGGTAGCTTGGACTCGGCTGACCGGGTCGACAGGTCTCGCAAAAATCTCCGCGCAAGTTGAGGGCACGACCAGATGAGACAAAAAGCATTAACAAGGCTGCGATGCGCGTCCGGCTAATTCCATAACTCCGTTCAGCCCCTCTCTACCTCGTCCATGCATCGCCATGCTTTCTATTCGTGTAACGCTTGCTATACCATCTTTTTCTCCGTTCGTTTCATCCTTTCACCCTTTCCACTACTTTTCTCTATCCTTCGCGTTTCGCCCCCGGACTCCTATTCTTCCACCCTCTCTCGATCCCCTTCGTGTCAGCGAACGTTTCGTTCTTCTTGCTCGTGAAGGAACGCCGTCGACGAACCCGGTGTTCGGGGACGGCCGGTCGGGTAATTATCTCCCGGCCGTGTAAAAATAATAATTAACTCCCATCGTTGCATTAATTAAAGCCCCCACTACGCAGGAAAGCTTTCCCGCTACCTCTTCCTCCGGCACGAGAACGTTCGCCGCCCGTAATTACGCGTCCCTTATGGCACTAACCACTGTCCCACAAAGGGCGACCGCTTTACACGCCCACGTCACTCGTGCGCACTCCTCGTCTCTACGTGTCTCGCGGGAGACCGACGTTTTAGGCTTCGCGCATTTCGTTCCACGCGAAATCGGCCACTCCTTGGTGCAACCTTTCAGATTCTTTATCTTTCTTTCGACAAATTGTACTCGGATCGATTCGATAAATCGTTATCGTTCGTTTAAACAAATAAACGACTACGAGCAGCGGCAGTCACCGACTGCATTCGCGAGTAACCTGGTAAAAGAGAGCAACGGACATAGATTTATACGGAGAGCTAGGTACTTGCCTGACGCACCTGTTTGAACTGCTCTTCGAAGCTCCAGCTGGTCTGCTGCTGGTGATTCGTTCCTGTCGAGTTGTTCTGCGAATGATTGCTACCCTCCCGAGGTTCGCCGCCGTTTCGCGCGCTGCCTTGCGACGATTCGCTGGAATGCGAGCTAGCCGACGATGTCATCTGATTTCCTATACCACCGCCGATGCCTGACTGAGAATGACTGTTCTGCGTGTGATGCTGTGGCGTTAGAAACGCAGCTGGCGGTGGAAACGAGAACGGCAGGTTAAATCCACTGCCTCCCATTGCCGCTTGTAGCGCTTCCAGGCCGCTCTTGTTGTTCAACGTGTCTACGTCGCTTTGCTGCGAAAAATGTTCGCGTTGGAAAATACAAATTTTAGGTACCGAACACCGTCTCTGTACAGGTGAAAAATTTCGTTGTTTTCCTCGAGCAAAATGAATACAAAAAGAATGATATAAAAAGAATTTAAGAATTCAGCGAAACAACTATAGTAGCGCGGGGTTGCGACAGTCTCTCACGATTTTCAAGACTTTACGTCACCCGGTGTACATTTTTCCTTCGTTTTCAGGCCAACGAACGTTTAATTTTCTCTTGACCAAGTTTTAGCACGAATTACCGAAGATAATAGCTCGACGCCGCGGCGCCTTTCAACCATCGATTATCCTGTTTCTCTATCTACTCGCGTTTAAACTTTTTCCTCGAAAAACGATTCGCGACGTTCGTCGAGTGCCGCCGAAAATTAAACGAACCGTAAAAAAGAAAAAAAAAAACAATGAAATCTCTTCTCTCACTGACCTCCATTTTAAGCTTCGCCAGAAAGTGCGGATGGTGCGTGCTCATCAGACTGTTCAAGTGCGTTAATGGAGTAGGTGTACCAGCCGGCACGGATGCATTGTCCGACGAAGAGTGTGTGTTGCCCTGAAGTGGCTGCTGAGGTAATTCCTCTCCACTCTCTTCATCCTGCAGGTCTGGATCCGACAAATCCTCCTCCTGATGCGACTGAAAATAGATCGACCATTCTGGTTAGTTTGGTTGTCGCAACATAATACACTCGCGGAAAGGTAATAACCCTGCCTCGAATAAATTTCAACATTATTCCGTATTCGTTCGGGTTGAAAGAAACCCTGGGAACATTGTTACGCGATATCAACGGTTCAGGTGCAATCGTGTGGGTAATGAGGGCAGATATCGAAGCATTAAACATTAATTAGGAAAATGGCGAATGAGGCGTGTTATATACGGTAAGATAGCCGCTATCGTGCAGCATTATTATGCTACGGGTGTCATAAGTGTTTTACGGCTATGCCCGTGTTGCACCGGTGCCGAGATAAAACTACACAATGTGACAGTACTGTGAACGGAAGTGGACGTCGTAAACGGCACGGAAAAAACGGATGTTCCGTCGTCTCCGTCGGTAATCCATTCCGTTTCGTAATTGCCTCATACTTTATCGCAATGCCCAGACGAATATGGATGGATAATAATTTTTCTAACCGATACCCCGTTTCTTTCTCGTCCATCGACTAATTCGTTTCCCAGCAGCGAGAACTGTTGCTTTGGTTTTCAAAATTGCCGTTATCGCGAAACAGACAATTCCTTTCTCACGATCGTATCGCGAAACGTAATTATTTATGACCGTTTTCTGCGGACAGAGCGAACGCGGCCGCGCAAGACCGCGAACCGTACCCGATAACCGTACGCGGTCTTGACATATCTGTTACCACTTTCCAGACATCTCGTCTCGCATCAGAGACAACGATTGAGACCGTTGCAAATGCTTCCCAGAAACTTGAAAGTTATCCGACGAACTTCACCCCTAAACGTTCCCGCCCGTCCGACTACTTTTCCAGGTGACCGAGGAAACAGAATTCGAGGGGCGTTCACCGGACTCGCCAAGGTGTGCCCTCTTTATCTACGACGCCAACATGCAAATAGATTCATCGAATTCTTGGGTGTATTCAAATGTCGCGGCGAGCATCTACCTGAAAAGGGCGGACTTGGATAAATATATACCTATCGGATGCAGGTGCCGCGCGGAGGGTTTAAACGATGGTTTCGATCGAAAATGGAATTGTGATCAACGAGGGAGGGAAAAAGAAACGAGGTACAAGAACGGTCCCTCTGTCGGCATTTCGAGCACGTGTGATAATATTGACCATTCGCGATGGTCAACGACGGGCAATCGGTCACGATAGATGGAATCCTAATCAAACACGGAACAAGTTAGTTTCTAGGATTCCGATCCATCGACCATTCGGTCATTAAAGGAATAAAGAGTTTGTTTTACACGGCGTGATAAGTATTTGACCGCGATTTCTCGATGCCGCGCATCGTCAACCTTGGGATCTAGCCAGGTTTCGAACTTATGAATGCTCGCGGTTTAACGGCACGGGGGATATTAATTACATATTCAGCAGATCCTGAAGCAAAACTGTCGCGACCCACATGCGGGTCAGCGGACGACGTACGCGTTGCCGTTTGCTGTCTTTGTATATATAGATAGTCAACGTCAAGAGTTTCTTTCTGATAAGACATCGTGAAAGTTTCTCGGAAAGGGGTCCAACGTAACCGGCCATTTCGCCAAAGATACGCCCGTAGAAAGTTTGACTCGAGAGTAAGAGACAAGCATGAAAATGAATTACGACAGTTAACGCTCTCGCATCGGTATTCCCGACACGCGCGAGCACGCGGGACTACAAATCATATGATTGAAGAGGTCCCAGGGTGCTCGAGGATGGTGCCGTCATTACGATAATCATGGCAGGGGCGATCGAGGTGCTATTGTTCTAACACGGCCCGACTGTGCGCGCGTAGGTGTTTCAATCCCTGGCTGAGGACCATGAAGGGAACCATGAAGGGAACACAGTCGCATCCGAACGGGATGCATTTCGTACAACGTAACCCACATTTATCGCCTTTTTTTTTTTTTTATTTTCTCGACCGTCGAATACAATGCGTGTATGCGTGTCTACGTTGGCCTCTGTTTTGCTACATATCTCAGGAGTGGCTAATCAGAAGATTTGGCACGATTGTGTCTCAATCATCGTTTTCGACCAACAGTCGCTATATTTTGCGAAGACTAACTTTTTCTTTTTTTAACAGAAAGGGAAGTCTGCTCGCGACACATTTCGCTACGCGTTTCGCTGAAAGACTTTCTTTAAGAGGAACAAACAGTCGATTCGACGATTTATCCTCTCCACCTTTGTCTCTCTTCCTCGTTCGCGATGCGCGTTCGAGATGAACGGAATAAATCAATAGAGAGCGCGCCGAGAGACCAAACGGTCCTCGCTTAAGCTGTACCACCCAAAGCTTCAGGTAAAACTGTTACCCTGGGCAAACAAGTGGGCGCGGCCAGTTCCTCGGGAAGAAGAATCACTCCCACGTTTCTGTCACCGGGAATACCTGTAGGTGATTGTGTCCCTGCATAATTCGTAGGTTCGCCTACCGAAAACACGTTCCGGACCACTCGTGTACCCTCGTGGGCAGTTAATCGAATCACGAGAGCCTCGTTCACGCATTCAACGCCGCATCGACCGATCGTTTGCTTTATTGGCCGCAAATGTAAACACCTGTACTTCGCGATGCGTCCAAAAGAACGTTCGTCGACGTTCGGACGACTAAATATCAACGATTCTTTTTATTTTTTAAAATAGCCGCAACGTTGACAGATCTGTGTCTAAATGGTACACCCTGTACAGACCGAGACGTCCCCGTGAAGTTGTCCCTCGGTCTCATGAAGACGTTTTAACGAGATTTAATATATCCTAGGCACGACAATAGCTAAATTTACCGGAGGCCAGACCGCGGCGCGTTATCCCTTTCGAGCCACGGCAGATAACCGTGAGCTCGTCGTGATTTATCGCCGCGCCGCCGCTGTACGATTGTTTTGTTGTTTATACCTTATAGTTTGCACGGTTCGCGGGTGTAACCGTGTCTCCGTTAACAAAGCCTCTCGCGACCGTGTCCTCGTGCGTACGCGTGTCCACTCGCACCCCAACCAGTAAATCATCGCCTAAACGCTCGAGGCGTTGCAGACGGTACGCGTCGCTAAATTTTCTAATTATTATCACGGCTCATCGAGAACCGTCGAATCGTCGCCAAGCTTGTCTATTTGGTAGAAATTTGTAGCTTCATCTATTTACTTAACACTATGCCGCGTATCGAATCGAGATTTTTTCGTTTGGCACCGGTAGAATCGACTGATTGTTTTCGCGTGGCGTCACAGTGGTGCCACCGGACGGCATAGTGTTTTTACGTAATAAATTTGCGAACAAAAATAAATGAGCAAATGGAAAAGATCAGTTTTAAACACGCGCCATTTTAAAGTCTCGTCTGCGAAGGGTCGAAGGTTTTAATTTTCTCGTCGGACGCGGTGAATTAATTCTCGAGACATCTGTCGACTTATTGCGGTTTCGCGAGGTGACAGAAAATGGCGACGCGAAGGAACACGGGAAACGGTTTAAGATGAAGAAGGACGGAATCACGCGGTTCGGCGAGCAAACGAAGATGAAAGAACAACCGCGGAGGCGTGTCGCTTCGCTGTGCAGCAACGCGACGAGATTAAACGGAGGTTAAAGGCTCGAGAAGCTAAAGGCTATAGTCTCGCCTCGAGGCTCGTGGGTGTCTTCGTGACGAAGTGCCGGGTGCAAGCTGATGCACGGAGGGGGGTCGAAAAATGAAGAAACAGTACGATTCCAGGCGTATTACACGGACGATTAATTTGCGAGCCGCTGCGAGATATATCGCCCAGCTAGAACATCGCGTCGTGTGATTCCTCGATTATTCAAACCGGCCACCTCGATGATTTCCATTGCGCGTCTCGCGATGTGAATTATCGCTCGTTAAACGACCGATAACGCACGCGCTTTTCAAATTGAAACACTGTTGCGTAAATTTGTTTTCTGTATCGACCGTTTGCCGAACCACGTCGCACCCGCGCTCCAGAAGCGACACAGCTAAAAATCCCCAAGTCCTCGAGCGAGTCGTGCAGTTTCGGAATTTAACGTTTAAAATATTTTTCGCTCTACAAGCGACAGAATTACAGAAACAAACTGTAAACGCAACTGTGTATACGATGATTAATCGCGGACAAGGAAAAAATGTAAATACTGCCGGTATCGCGAAAAACAAGGTTGAATACACGAATGTAGGCCTTGACACGTCCTGCTGACATTATTTTTATGCTATTTAATAACGCGCAACGACGAAGTTTGCGCGAATATCGAAAACATACGGGACGAGGTTTTCGTCTACGCGTCGCGGTCGTATCGAAAGGGGAGCAAAGGGAGAGCAGCGATTTAATGAATGGCCCGGCGTTCATCGACGCGCAATAAAAATGAAAGTTTAAGTATCTACACGAGTTCCGTTGGGATCCCCTGCGGTGCTCCCACGTAGAGATCACGGCTTCATCACCAGATATCTTTCTCCCTTGTGTACGTACACGCAACGAGTACCCGTGTACTCGTGCGGTCGTGAAATAAATTCATAAGTGGTCGATGATAAACAGCTACGAATCGAAGTCGTTTTGGCAGATCGATCGATTTAGATTGAGAGATTACCCCTGGCGGTCACCGTCGTGCCAGAGACGAGTGAGTCCGTGGGGGGAGGGGTTGATTTATCGACACGGCCAGGGCTTTTGTCAGGTATATAAATTCATTGACCATCGGAATCGTCATCGCTGTAATCGCCTTTATTTATCAATATCGCCGGGAAGGCGCATCGATCAAACCTGTCTATTTAGGTGAAGCTTCCTACGGGACACTTGGTCGAGGAACATCGTCGCGATACCTGAACGGCAGAACCGATCAAAACGCAACCCCCTCGATCCGTTCGTGCGCATTTCCGACCAGGCATTCGCGTGACTCGGTTTACGAACGATCACGATTCTCTCGATCTCAGCCGGCCTCCGAGTAACCGAAGGATCTTAGGATCGATCGTAAACCGCGCGCGCGCCGGCTACGGTCTACGGTCCCCGCCTTCTGCGAGGCAGCAGTCCGTTC